CCCTGGGTTTTAGTTGTTTTAAGTGGCATCACTGTCATTGATGGTAATATTGAGATAAATTTAAGTTCTGATGCCAAACTCTATCCTCCAAAATGACAATGCTTTCACCCACAGACGCTGCTCACGTTTGGATTGTTCTGAGAGTATTGAACTGCTCTGCCATGCTTGTTCTGTTGGTGTTTAATAGGTTTGTGTTGGCTGTTTTCATCTTCCTTTAGCTCTCTGAGGACACGATAAATGTACCATAATTGGAGATCTATTAAATAACTTCAGTGACTACATTTAAAATATATCAAGAAAGACAAAACAACTTACAAAATAAGCCATAAAACCACCACAAAAGTACTAAAACTAACAGTCAGTTCTTTCCATCTTTGCACTCTCCCCAACTTTACTGCACATCGGTACATAAATAAAACTGCAAAGTACTAATACATGAATATATTGCCTAATATAACTAATATATTGATGTCTTTATTTTCCTGGCACAAAGAGGGAAAAAAACCCCAAACAAATAAATCATCAAAATAATATCAGTGGTGTTCACTATCATGTCATTTTAAACAACATTGGTATCAGGCTGCAGTTTATCAGTCAGTGCATTCCTGTCTGACAAACTGGTAAACACTGGTTTCAGTGTCCATTATGTTTGCTTCTATAGAACCACATGCTGCATGTGACTTGCTTCACCCTGTCATGTGACTCATTGATATCACCTCATGTAAGATGCCTGCTCATAATGACCTACGCCATTTTTGAATGGACAACTACCACTAGGGGTTAAATACCTGGGACTCTACACCTTTTTGGTTTTACAACTGAAGAAGCTTCTTGGATGAGAGGTGAAATGTCTTCAAGAAACTTCAACAAGTCCAATTGCTTTATTTATAACCTCCTTAGACTACCATCACCTCGATGACCAAGAACCCACACAGTCTGACACCAAACTTATATCCTCCAAGATGCTTGGCCCCATAGAGGCGTTTAAACTGAAGATAAAGAAGAAAGGTGATTGAAAGTGGCATGTTCTTGATGCCAGACATGCTCGTCTGACTGCTGTTTGAGTACCAGCTAATAATATTTAGCATCAGTGGCACCACCTTTCATTGCACAGCATAGCCGAAATAGCTCAGTTGGGAGAGCGTCAGACTGAAGCTCTGAAGGTCCCTGGTTCAATCCCGGGTTTCGGCAATATTTTTGCTTTGATGATTGT